TTTTATTTATTTCTAAAAAAATTGTAATTATGTAAAAATGTTATAAAAAAAATTTAAATTTAAAGATGTTACTTATATGTAATATATAATAGATAAAGGATTATTGATTAATTCGTTATTAGGTTTCGAACATGAAACATATTCACATGCATGTATAAAAAAATTATGAAATTAGTATATAAATTTCTCGTCTAAACATGACATATATTTGTTTAATTTATTTAATACTCATTTGATATTTTAGTATATAAAATATATCATGTATTTTAAATACGTAAATATATAATTTTATGTTTTGTGTTTGTTCTTTAAGTACATGTGTATAAAAAGCTTATAAAATGTTATCAGTCTATAATTATACATTATATATAAAAGTAAAAATCTAACAGATCTACATTCATTATGTTTGTATCCTTCATCTGAAGTCTTTGACAACAATCATTAAACTTTGCATATCATAATATCACTTCACGATGTGAATGATATACTTTAATAACTTTTAATAGAAGTAATAATAGCAATTTTATAAAAATTTTATAAAAACGTATCAAAACAGTTTTATATTTGTGATCACCTGTTATGTTTTATGTATGATAAAATCCCACGTATCCTTCCATCTTAACTTTAAAACTTCCTTGGCAGTTAGATGAGTTGTACCGTAACTAAGTACAGCAAACTTTTTAAATATATAAATAATAAAAATTATCCATACAATAGTACCAATTTTTAACATACATATAAAAAGACTTCGTCGACATCGAGTTCTAAAAATCAGAAAAATTAATATTAATACTCCTGCAAGATTATTTTAACAAATAAATTATACAAAAAAGCATTATGCAAATGTGGAAAGTTATCTCCTTAACGAGAATAATCTATGAAATCTAATATAAGGAGAACTTTACTCCTGTACCTTCCTTTTTAAATATAAGTGAAGACTATGACTGACATATGATTTGCATAATACGACCAGATACATAATTATGTTGAAACATACCCAATGAGATAATATAAATGCTCTATCGTTGCTGCTGTAAGTAATACTTTAAAAATGAATGCTGGCAAATAATGATGAAGAAACAGGGTTCTTCCAACAAATATAAAAGGTAAGAAATGTAAAAGATAGCCAACTAATAAAGTGCTGCCAATGTTAGAAAATTTGTGCCATTCTTCATGTGAAATATCAAAACACATTCGTCTTCGTCTTAATATGTAAAATATTAAAAGTGACGAATATATAATAAGACAAACAGTTCCAGAATACCAAATTAGTATATTCCCTAAAAGGTGTACTTGTGCCTATAAAAAGTTTCGTACTTTTATGAATATTAATAATTAATATTATCACGTGTATAAATAAATTTAAATACTTACATTACTATCATTAGAAACCCAATATGCGATACCTCTAGACATTAACGGCCAGTCTAAAGGGTCGCTCGAATACATATGACTATTTTGTCCTTCTTGACCACTGAAAAGCATTTTTATTTGCAGTTCTTGAAATTTCTCCCAGAAACTTAAAGTGGTAGCTTGTAATGGTATCATTTCAGCATTAATCAACTCCCTTTCTCTTTGTTTCTGGTCTTCACTTTTAGTATATCTATGTTCTTCAACATTCCATATGGAGTCTGTTTGATCTACTAATCTATCTGCTACTACCTCGTGCTGATTAAATCCCCAATCAGGTAACTGTCTTCCACTAAATTTTAATGCATAATCTGTATTTACGTGTATTAAACGTATCTGACTTTGTATTGCATGCCACGTATCACCCACGCTGTCCTTATTAGTAATTTCCACTCTCCAAAGGTTCTGAGCAGGCATCGAGACATTGTAATCAATGTAACAAGACACCTCTTGACTTTGAGGTGTCATTGGGGCAGCAACATCGTGTGAATTTAATGCCCGACTTGTAATACCGTGCACTAATTGTATTATATCTCCATGTTTTATGGGTTCAATAGGTTTAGCAACAACTAGATCATTTCTGTCTGGTTTTTTCACAATCCACCAGTTATTTACATCTTTAAATGAATAACATGTAACTTGTTGTTGATGAGAACTGCCTCTTCCGTCTGGGTACCTTAACGGATACATATGATTATGACTGTGAAGCCAACAAGCTCTTCCATACGTATGTCTCAAAGTGATCTGGGATCCATGAGTAACTTCTACGGGTTGACCTTTCGTAATACTAGCAAGGCCGCCGTCCAAACTTGCTTGGAAAGCACTCGTCATTATTGAATCATGTGGCCCCGCTTTGGAAAGCGTCATTAAATGTATATAAAAAATAGTCAAGTAAACAGTACAAAAAACTATTGATATTGCAAAGGTTCTCATGATGAGATGAATCCATAATGCTGTCTTTGACAAAGTTTTCCGTGGTATTAAATTCCAATAATCATAGGCAATTAAAGATAATGCGAGGATCAACGAATATAATCCAACATATTTAACACTGTAAAAATTATATAATATTTAACGTGATATAATTCATCATTGGTAATATGTAAGTAATATAGTTGCAATCATACCATAATGCACATGTTAAATTTACAATGCCAAGAATCAACCATATCCACCAGGACAAAGTTGTTGGTTGATCCATTACTTTCCTAAATTTCAAAATGCATATCAATCCAAATAATGAAAATTGCATGAGAATGCTTTCCATCAAGATAAATCTAGATTGGGTCAATAAGGCATTATCTGAAAACAAACAAAATTAAGTAGCACCAAAACAAAATATTTGTCAAATATAATGGATAAATATGTAATTCATTATTATCATTAAATTACCAAATAATAATAAAATTCCCGCTAGAGCGGCAGTCCATTGTTTCAGACCTAATTCTAAAATTAGATGGTACCCCGTTGGGACTAAAAGGCTCCCGCATATTGCTGGCACTAATCGTAATGCGAACAAAGGAACGGAATCCGAGTAAGAACTTCCTATTCTATCGAATTTAAATTGACCATCGAATCCAGCTAAATACGCCACAGCGGAAATAAGTTGTTTGCCCAAAGGAGGATGTGAATCAAAAAAGAAAGTTCTTTTCATATACAGCCCAACATATTTTCCATAATGCAATTCATCAAACCTGTCTCAAATAATATCTATAATTATCTTCATTTTAATTGTAAAGTAAATGTATTTTAAAAATTAAAACTTCCCAACAAACATAGTAATACCAGAATATACATGTACTTACACAATACTTCGGGGTTCTTCCAAACGATAAAGTCGAGTAACAATTCCAGTCATTAATAAAATAACTGAAATCAAGTCAATTTCGACATTTATTTTAATTCGAGTCCTCGGTGCTGCGTTTACTGATTCCGTAGCCGTTTGAAATTTCTCAATCGTATCTGTACTAATTTCTTTATATTTCTATTAAAAGATAAAATTAATTGTAATATACTGCAATCATATCTTATTCTTTAACATATTAATTACGTGTACGTAAATGTATAATACTAAAAATTAAAAAGGTAGAAAATAATTAGTTATAGTGGTGAACAAAAAGATAAATTCAAATCCTCTGGAAGTTTTACATAATACACAGCATTTTAATTAATTATTTACCTTGTCTTGCTCCACATCTTTGGAATAATTCGTAGAACTGTATTCAGAATCTGACTTGACACTTTCTGCTTGTGATTGTTTATTATCTAATGTCTTCGTTCGCCTCCGACGAACTTCCATCACATCAATTTGTTATTAATAAAAATGTGCGATCCGTACAATGAATCTTTACTCTCTTTCTTGCAGTTATTGTTGCAAGAAATTAAAAAAATCGTCAAGTCAGTATATTAATTACAGAGTTATACCTACAAATAATATAAGCATTGGCCCACGTCATCAACTGAATGATATTTCCTGGAATAAATATAATAAGATTTAATAATTACCGATAGGATGTAAAAGTTTTTATATTAATTATAATCAATCTAATAGTGTAGAATTACAGACATCTTATCTTTTATTTAGTATAAGTATACTTACACAAGGTATGAATATGAGAAAGTATTATTGACATTACTGTTCATAAAAATGTATAAAAATAGAAAAATGTATAAGTGTAGAAAGTTGTATGATCAGTGTACAGTACTCTCTAATATTATATACTTTAAACGATTAGTTTATGATTTTGTTATGCTTCTTCCACCAACTAGATATGTATATATATAGTTATAGTATGTATTTTCTGATGTTCTGCTTAGAAAACTCTGAATTTTGACGAAATGATTTTCTTACCGATGTACGAAATATTAAAATTTTTGTTGATAAATCATTGAGGATGAATGACACGTAGGATTGATCAAAACCGATCATCAAATTGAGGTTATTAGATTCAGCCATAATATAACGGTATCGTTGCCGACAGGCGACAGATCCGATAGACGTTTCAATAATTTCTTTTGTGCATTGTGGAGTAATCTTCAAAAGCTTTTTCATTTATAAAGTAAGAAAATTTGTTATAAAATTATTTACTATTTTAATACTATGCCAATTTATAATATGTACTTTATTCTATGACTTATGTATGTAGTTTTCGAATTTCGTTTATTGGTTTTCGTAATTGTTGTATACCATTTATTTATATTTATTAATTATGTATATATCTGTTGTAGATTAAAATATGAGTGACAACAAAGTTTCTTGCCCTATCTGTTCTAAAGAATTCTCATCTGCAGTAATAGAAAGTCACGCAAGTAAATGCTTATTTTTAAATGAATCGGTAAGCAAAGAATCGTCGTCTTCCTTCAGAGATGAAAGTCCGGCAAGGAAACATATTAAATTAAGTCATAACAAAGGGAGTAAGAATGATATAAAGATGACAAAACCTGATACAGATTTTCAAAGCTCCAATATTTCATCTAATAGCAATGTAATTACTTATGTTTATGTAATGAAACAAATGGTAATATCGTTGAGGAAAATATTAAGTTGTTTGTAACAATTCTAGGCAGATAAAGAAGTTAAAAAGATATTTGGTAAAGGTCATGTACCTCTTGCCGAACGTATGAGACCTACGACATTTTCAGGATACATTGGACAATCACATATTCTTGGACCGTCAACAATACTGTATCAGTTATTAAATAAAAATGAAATACCAAATGTAATTTTATGGGGTCCACCTGGTTGTGGAAAGGTATTAATTTTCTAACTTTTTTTCCAACATAGTAGCGCATAGTAGTTTATTCGTATTCAAATGTAAATCTAATTTCAGACATCTTTGGCAAACGTTATAGCTCATATATGTAAAAATAAAACAAATGGAAGAATTAGATATGTTAAACTATCTGCAGCAATGGCTAATGTAAATGAAGTGAAAGAAGTAATCACAGTAGCTTCTAACGAATTAAAGTTTAATAGGCGAACAGTAGTCTTTCTGGATGAAATACATCGTTTCAATAAAATGCAGCAAGATGTATTTTTACCTCATGTTGAATCTGGCACTATTACACTAATTGGTGCAACAACGGAAAACCCTTCTTTCAGTTTAAATTCTGCACTCCTTAGCCGTTGTAGAGTCATTGTCTTGGAAAAATTAAGTGCATCTAATTTAATATCTATATTAACCAAAGCCGTGGATTCATTAAATGGGATAATATACAATTCAAATCAAGCATTAAAAAATAGTGAACAATTACCAAAGTTCATTATAGATAAACCAACCATAGAATGGTTAGCAGAAACTTCTGATGGTGATGCTCGAATAGCATTAGGTGGCTTGGAATTAGCAGTTCAATGCAAAATATCAAGTGATGAAGAATTTCCTGAAAAAGGTCCTGTGACCATAACATTGGATGATATCAAAGAAAGCCTTAAGAAGAGCCATATGCTATATGATAAGAAAGGTGAACAACATTATGACACGATTTCAGCTTTACATAAATCTGTTCGAGCAAGCGACGAAAATGCTTCTCTTTACTGGCTAACGAGAATGATGTTGGGAGGTGAAGATCCAGTTTATATTGCGCGAAGATTAGTAAGAATGGCATGCGAGGATATTGGTTTGGAAGATCCAAAAGCTCTTGGTAATTTGGAGATTCATAATATTACTTTTTTATTTTATGTTAAATCTTTACGGCACCTTAGAATGAACCGAAAAATAATTTTTCAGGAATAGCTGTGCATACAATGCATGCATGTAAAATGATAGGAATGCCCGAATGTGATGTGCTTTTAGCACAATGCACAACATATTTGGCACGAGCACCAAAGTCTAGATTAATGGAAGATGCATTCAGAGCTGCTCAAAAAGTAATAACTGAATATAAAGGACCTCAGCCAGGTGTACCATTGCATTTAAGAAATGCTCCAACAAAACTTATGAAAAATTTAGGTAATTGTAATACACCTATATGATATTCATAAAATATATTTACAATATATAGTACATAATATATTTTAATTTAATCTTAGGATATGGCAAAGGATATAATATGAAAAATAGAGAAGAGTCAGGATTAAATTATTTACCAAAAGAATTGGAAAATGTAAGCTTCTTTGATTGCGATGAAGATTATATGACATGAATGTAAACATGTGCACATAGTATAAGTATAATATATTTGCAATACTCAGGGATAAGCAGTATTTTATACTTAGATATACTAGTTATCAATGTAAAATATCCAAATATAAGATCTAGATGAGAAGTATCAAGTATGTATATTAAATTTTAATAGAAATTTTATACTGTACACAGAATCATGTAAAATTTAAATGAACCGGCATTACAATTTCAATATTTAACTAGCTTTACATTATTGTTGTGTATCTAACATCTTTTTCCATATTAGAGTTTTATTATTAGCAGGCATATCAATCATAGCTATCAATTTAATATCATTTTTTTCTGCCAATTTCCTCAAATCGTTGATATCTCTGAGACCCCACCTTGGATCTTGCAATTTCAGCGTTTTATCGAAATTAACGTTACTTTCTGGCGTTATTTTTCCGTCAATAGCATAAGGTCCATATGTAAATAAAGTTCCATTATTTTTCAAAAGTTTACCAGCATTATTAAATAAGCCAATAGAGCATTCATAAGGTGAAATATGCATCATATTTGCATTATAAATATAATCTATACTAGCTTCTTTAAACATGCCATTGGCCCAAGTACGAAAATCTGTTGTAATATCTATCTTTAATGGCTGTTTTATATTCACAAATTCATTAGCATAAGCAGCAACACTTTCTAACAGGTTTGCTTCGTATTCTGAGGGAAAAAATGTAATCTGAGGAAAATTAGGAGCAAAATGTGCTATATGTTGTCCGGAACCAGATGAAATTTCCAAGAAGACTTGATCTGAATCACGTTGAATGTACTTTTGAAGAATTGACAGTATTGGACCCTTGTTACGCTCAGCGGCTGGATAAAAAAGCTTTTTAGTATCCATAATCGTGGACCTTAAATTGAAGTTCAACATTTTATTCTCTATGTAAGATCTAATATATATTAGAAATATTTTAATGTATTAACATTTTGATGACCGCTTTCACGCTTATATGGTCTCGCTCAGACCTCAGCCCCCTCAGTTGCCTGTGTAAATTGTATACTTGAATCAGGTGTTGCTATTATGATGTCAGTAAAAGACATCAATATTAGTTCGTAGGCTTCGATGACGTCATGACGTATCTACCTGCAGCAGGTGTAGGTTTGATTGAAATTTTGCCAAGTTTCGCGGTATTTACGTGCAAATGAAATATTGAATATTACTAAACTCATCCTAGAAATGTAGTAGAACGTAAAAGAAATATATATGCAGTTCCATTATCAAATTTAGACAGTGAAATTAATAATATAAATTACGATCGTATGGTAAAATTTTAAATCATAAAAATAGTGAAAAATTAAGCACAAAGTGCGGTAGGCACAAGAGACACCGACGACAAATAAAAGCCAATAAGCCAATGTACGGCCACCAAAGTGTTAATTTAGAATTTTATTTATAAAAAAACAAAAATATAAGTATAAATCTTACCTATGATTTGCAGCGCAACGAATAACTGCATTCATATTTAGTTCTTGTATTCGTACCAATTTTGTATCTGAAAAATTGAATTATGAACTTCGTGGATGAAAAGTAACATATAGTAAATATAAAAAATTGCAATCAAATTTGAA